TTCGACTTCCGAGAGCGGCACTACTACTTCAAAGGGTAGCAATATGACTTTAAGTAGCGGTACTTCGAATTAAGGGGCGGCACTCTGACTTCAGGGAGAGAAGCGAGTAGCGACATACTCTGAGGGTTAAATATAAATTCAGATAGTTACTACCAGAGATTATTATGAAATGAGCTTCAAAGAAATGCGGGTCATTTTCGTAAAATGCACTTCATCACGTATGGAAAAAAGCCGCCCTCCGCCGCCTTCGGCGGCGGAGGGGCGGCATTTTTCGATAGGCTAGGGGCATCGGCCCCCAGATGCCCCCCCCCCTGGATCCGCCCCTGGGGTAGCCCCATTTCTTCTACCCCGTAATTGACTACTTTTGATACATCTCAGTGACCGTCGTGGCACGTGCCACGTGAAAAGTCAAGGGTGTTCAAGCAGTTTTGCAAAAGTAACAATTTTGAGAGGCCCATATCTCAGCAGCGGCTTGAGCGATTGTCTTGCGGTAGTTTTCATAGGCTAGCTGCATCCCTTCTACCAAAGGTCGGATACTCTTGATCTATGTGAGTGGCCTCCACTGCACGTGCAAAATACAAAAAGAAGAGGTGCCAAATTTGTTCCCATTTCAGTAACTCGGTAATTACTGGGGCGATTTCGTTGAAACTTGGCATACGAGTACAGGTAGGCACCCACCAGGCGATGCATTCCCATGTGTTGTGGTTAGGGTGCTACTGCACGTGCGCACGTGCGGGGGGCGTTTCCAGATCTCGAGAACGGCTGGGCCGATTGGGCTCAAATTTGGTACACGGTTGGGGACCAGTTAGTAGGGCGCCGTGCAAGTCATTTTGGACCCCGTTTGCACGTGCGCACGTGCAGAATGCCGCTTCCAGATCTCAGGAACGGCTGGGCCGATTACGTTCAAATTTGGCACACCGCTAGCGACCGGTTAGAAGGGTGCTTTGCACAAGCCCGTTGGAAGTACCCTCTCGCCCTTCCGCACGTGCAGGGCTCACTATCTCGCTCGCTCGTTCTTCGCCCAAAAGGCGTTTTACTGGTAGGTATTATTACGAGCGAGCGAGCGCAGCGATGAGCGAGCGAAGCGAAGTCTTTTCAATATAACGGAAAAATCTCAGTATGAGCGGCCCGGCCCGGCCCGGCCCGGCCTGTAACGCTTTTGAGAGGCTTAGGTATATCTCAGCAACCGCTGGACCGATTGGCCTGCGGTCTTTTTTGCTGGGTAGCCCCATCCCTTCTTCCTCGTAATTGACTACTTTTGATACATCTCAGTGACCGTCGTGGCACGTGCCACGTGAGAAGTCAAGGGTGTTCCACTGTTCAAGCAGTTTTGCAAAAGTAGGGGAGAGTGGGGTGGGTTGTATCAGTTTTTACTCCGAGCCCCATAACCTCGTAACTATCCGTGATAAACTCATTATTTCCATACTATCTCCTTCCTTGATTCTTCTGCTTTTTTGTGCAAAGTAACTTTTCCGCTACCTCTACCAGTTTTACTTCTACGGTCTGCCGAATAGAGCAATGTTTTTGATACAACTTGCCCCATGGCTTGGGTGAGTTGTATCACATGGTGGGGTAATTTGTATCACTAGGTATTTCACGTTTCAGGGAGTGTGCTTGCTACTGGTTTTGAGCTTAACAACATTAAATGGGGCTAATACAATGTATATGCTCAATCAAAGGCTTCACTTTTATTAGACCAAACTTAGGTCAATGCAATCCGAACGATACATCGAAACGAGCGAAACATCAACAGACTAGATGCAAAAGTGGCCCGTTAAGAGCAAAGAAGCCAACACATTGTGCCGAAATGGAACGAGTATTGACTAGCTACCTACAAACGCGAGACAGGGCTTAGCTTTCGCGATCAAAAGCAACATGCCCATACATACATACATGTTACAACATACCCCACCCGGCTCTGATACAACATGTACCTCGCCGCCATCTTGGAAAAAAACATCCTCGTGCTCAAAAACAGCGGACAGCTGGAGAAATCCATTTTCACTCACGCAGCCTTAGAACCTACCCTCACCACCGCTACGGAGATCTTTCAAATTCGTGCACATCTTAATGCCAAAAACACACATTTTCTTGCAACTCATTTTTTTAGAATGACATTAAAAAAACATAAAATCGGTTCTCACCCCGAGACGCGTCCACCCAGCCACACGACAGAACAGGGAAAGATGGCGCCCGGAAAACCTCGTCGGCTGGTCGTGCAACGAGCGCTATCTATTGGATAAATTTGGCACAATTCGCCCTGATACAACTTGGACATGATACAACTCTCCCCGCTCTCCCCTAATGATTTTGAGAGGTCCATACCTATCTCAGCAGCGGCTTGAGCGATTGTCTTGCGGTAATTTTTATAGGGTAGGTATAGCTGCATCCCTTCTACCAAAGGTCGGATACCCTTGATCTATGTGATTGACCCCCAATGCACGTGCAAAATACAAAAAGAAGAGGTGCCAAATTTGTTCCCATTTCAGTAACTCGGTACCTAATTACTGGGGCGATTTCGCTGAAACTTGGCATACAGGTAGGCACCCACCAGGCAATGCATTCCCATGTGTTGCGGTTAGGGTGCTACTGCACGTGCGCACGTGCAGGGGGCGTTTCCAGATCTCGAGAACGGCTGGGCCGATTGCGCTGAAATTTGGTACACGGTTGGGGACCGGTTAGTAGGGTTCCGTGCAAAAGTCATTTTGGACCCCGTTTGCACGTGCACACGTGCAGAATGCCGCTTCCAGATCTCAGGAACGGCTGGGCCGATTGCGTTCAACTTTGGCACACCGCTAGCGACCGGTTAGAAGGGTGCTTTGCACAAGCCCGTTGGAAGTACCCTCTCGCCCTTCCGCACGTGCAGGGCTCACTATCTCGCTCGCTCGTTCTTCGCCCAAAAGGCGTTTTACTGGTAATGGCAAAAATCAAGGCAGGGGGGCACGGCCCCCCCCCCGCGTTCCGCCGCCTATACCTAAATTATAGGGTCCGTATCAAAGCGTCCAAAACCGCAGCGTCCAAGGTACGCAACATCCAAAACCGCAGCGTCCAAAGTACGCAACGTCCAAAATACGTCCAAAATCGGGTTTATAGGGGGCATTCACAAAGTCCAAAACCGAAACATCCAAAACCGCAACGTCCAAAAACGTATCATCCAAAAAACGCAACATCCAAAGACGAAACATCCAAAGTACGTAACCTCCAAAACCACAACGTCCAAGACCACGACACACAAGGCACGCAACATCCAAAACCAACCTAACCTAACCTAACCTAACCTAACCGAACCTAACCTAACCTACTGATTTTTGCCTATCCCTAACCCAGCCTAACCTAACCTAACCTACTGATTTTTGCCTACCGGGGATAAGGAAACCCAACTTAACCTAACCTAACCTAACCTAACCTAACCTAACCTAACCTAACCTAACCTAACCTACTGATTTATGCCTACCGGGGATAAGGAAACCTAACCTAACCTAACCTAACCTAACCTAACCTAACGGTTTTGGATGTTGCGTGCTTTGGATGTTGCGTACTTTGGATGATGCGTCTTTGGATGTTGCGTTTTTGGATGATACGCTTTGGATGTTGCGGTTTTGGATGTTTCGGTTTTGGACGTTGTGAATGCTCCCTATATACCCGATTTTGGACGTATTTTGGACGTTGCGTACTTTGGACGCTGCGGTTTTGGATGTTGCGTACTTTGGATGCTGCGGTCTTGGACGCTTTGATGGTCCCCCAAATTATAATACGTTATACGATACGGGTGACCGGAGCTTTGACTTCAGAGCTCTGTACTTACCTTGTAAGGTCACTCAGATCTGAGACTTCAATATCAATTGATTTAGTGTCGTTGCCCGTTGGATTCGTCTCTTGGGAGCAACATGTTCGACGGAACAATATGTCGTGGAAGCGCAATGAACCAGAATCCAGGGCCCTGCTTCACGGCGGAGCGCTGCAGTGCGCTGCGCGCGTCGGCGCGTTGGGTTTCCATGGCAATATCAACAAACCTCCCTCTGACGCTACGCTATGATGTCATCCGTCATCGCAAAACGCCAGCACCCAAGCGCCAGCACCATCAGCACGCTAGCAGCATTCGCACTCAAACCTCTGTTCTCTCTGTACTGGGTTCTTTTGGACCTCTGTTCCAAACGCGATTCATCAAAAGCTAACGGATCGCACGCAACGTCATTCGAGTGACGTCAGGGGTACGTCTCAGCTCCCAGCGCGCTGCAGCACGCGCAGCGTCGGGCGGTGAAACAGGGCCTAGTAATGCGGATGCGACCGAGCAGCGACATCTATCACTCATATTAACTTGCTAAGTCTTATATAGATGTCGCTAGCCAACAGCAAGGTCCGTGATCACAGCCGTCTGTGGTGCGCCATAATTGTGTATGACTTTGTTATGCCCTCAAACGCAGTTCACACTTGCCCGTAAGGTCTGCCGGTGACGGGCCCGACACCGTCAAAACGGCCGAAACTGACGGAGCGACGGCCGTCAGGTCGGCGGGCATGTGTGAACCGGCGGCGTTCGACGGCCGGCAACAGCTGACTGCGCCGACGCCGGACCTGACGGCCGTCGCTTTGGAAAGTTCAGCAATGTTCAACTTTTGACGGTGACGGGCCCGTCGGTTTGAATGTCTGCGTGTTGGAGGAAGAGGAAAAGGAACGTTATCATGCAGCATGAAGCTTATATGCATTTTTAGGATCATTTATACCATTTTCCATCCATTTGTTGAGATGAAAGCATTTATTACGGCACGATATCTTGAGATTCGATCCCTGATTTAAATCAACGAACCAATGTGTCTTTCATTTAAATAAAGTTGCAGCATTATTTGACATAAAAATGTAAATGCGTGGTAATTTATTTCTGTAATTCAAATATTTTAACCTCTCGGCCTCTACCCCCTCCCCCATCCCCTTCCCCCATCTGCGTCAATCTCGAAAATGGTGCGCCATTTCTGTCACAGTATATGGCAGCCAATGGGAGCTACCAAATCTCAACTTTCGTTTGACGGGCTGCAGGCCGTCAGGTCGACGGTGACGGGCCCGACACCGACAGACTGACGGTCATGTGTGAACTGCGTTTCATGCGCATAGACGCCTTGGCCACTGAACCACTGAAACATTATGTAACACAGTAAGAGCTAAGGCTCTATATATAAGCAACATTTACTTTCAAATGTCAGGTGGTGACATTGTTTAATTGGTTTTTTGTTTGCCAGACATGTAAGTATTATTTTTGGATTCAGGATGTCAAATAATGTAAGAATGTGACAAAATTATCCTTGAAAACTTAGTAGGACTTCATATTGTTATTTACCGACATTTGTTGTGGTCGAATGACCGTACCTATAATTTCGAAACCTCGTCCATACTTTTAGTGCTTGCTAAATATGGAAGTTGCTCATCAATTTCCTGGTCAAGTATTTCGGCGTTTTGCCTTTGAAGGACATCTTCGACTTCTTCATCATTACCTGGGTACCCTACTTTGACCTCAACCTGCCATCATCTAGCTTTCTTACTCTGACAGTGTAAGTTTGCTTAAAGGTTAAAATTAATGAATGAATTGATTAGTGAATTCAAACAAACAGTGTCTGCATGCGACATTGAATGGGATAAACGGGAACAAGTATTGCCAATGTTGGGAACCATACCACACTTCTATCACAATCACTGGTCCAGTGTTGGGTCTGAGATTTTGTTCATAATATATTGTTACACTATCAAATTAGGAAAGAAGACATTCATCTCAGCTCCCATAGAGGCACTCAAGTTCTTCTACTGGCAGATCCAAGGGGGGCCAACTGGGCCAAAGTGAGGGCTAGGGGCGGCTAAAACATGATTTGGCCCCCCTTTCCAAATTAAATGCCCCCTTTAAAATCTCCTCAGGACTGCAATTCACAAAAAAAGTGATTCCGACCCTACACGAATTAAGCACTTCAATATTGTACCTTTCTGTTGAACACTGGAAAGGAGCACATAGTTGTTAGGGCTATTATTATCAAGATTATAAATCCAATACAAGATGAGTGGGCTACCTTACTTAGGTCCTGGTTTCAGCATGTTTGTTGGTGACATTGGTAGCACTAGCATACTGGCATAAAATTTGTGAATATAAGTTTGTTGCTAGATTGGCCAATGCCTCAGTCTGTCAAATGAGTGTAACACACTAAACCTTTACTTTTTGTTGGTATCATTCCCTGGAGGCTATCACAAAAGTTTTATAAAGTTGATTGTTTTATCTTAGGTATCTCTGGCGTTAACCCATAAGAGCTCAGGCTTCTGTGCATTAGGCATGGTTGGGTTTAGGATTGGGCAGTGGAGTCCTATCTTGTTAACCTGTTAATTATTGATTTGCATAAAACAATGTTACCTAAGTTAAGTATTGCAACAGTGATCCAGACAGACCACACATCCATGTTTTGCACTGATTAGGTACGGACCTTCAGTCACACAGTTTAGGTACCTACTATCCATTCACCATCATTTATATATTAAACAGTTGAGCATTATTTTCATTAGCAATATGCTTATCTAGCAATATGCTATTTCACATTTTGTCATTTTACAGACTGGTCATACACATGCCCACTTGTTGTTCACAGTCCATGTGCCTTGTGTCATTTACAGACTGGTTATCCACCTACTCACCTGTCGTCGGCAGTTGGTTCGCGATGGCGGCCGTCCTGAAGAAGCGCGCGCTGGCCGAGTACAGTCACTCGCAGACGGTGACGGCCGACCAGGAGTCGGCGGCCGGCCCGTCTGTGAAGAAGGTGCGCCTCACGCGCCGCTCCGAGCAGCCGTCCACTCAGGCCGAGGGCTACCTGCAGATCCTGCAGCGCGCCAAGACCAGCCGCGAGTCGCTTCAGGCGCTCACCAGTCTGGCGGAGCTCAGCCCCGCGCAGGTACGGAATAGGCGGGGATGGAGCACGGGGTGGTGTTTGAGGGTGGGGCGGGGTGACGGCTGAGATATTGATGGGATCGTGTCGGGTGGCAAGACAAGATCGTTCATCATCGAATGCACTTGATCACCAGTTGCCTGAATTACTGTTCAAACTTCAAACCCATATTCATAACCTAACTGATCCTTTGTATGTCATGTCTGTGTTTTTACTCCGCCGCCCTGTTTTCGACCTCTGTCTGCGTGCCAGCGCTGACACCTGTCCCCGTGCTCGCTCTGGCTGCTGACCCCTTTGTCTTTGTGCCTGCTTTGACATTGGTTTCGATCTCTGTCTCCGTGCTCGCTCTGACCTGTCCCCGTGCTCGCCCTGACCCGTGCCTCCGTGCCTTCTCTGACCTCTGTTTCTGCCTCCGCCCAGGTGGAGGATGTCGGCGGCGTGGTGCGCCGGCTGCTGGAGGTGTTCTCGCGCGACCAGGAAACGGCCGTGCGCTGTGCGGTACTGCGGCTCGTGCAGCAGCTGGTTTCGGCCGCCGGCGAGCGCGCCCACCTGGCCTCAGCCGCTGACGAGCTGACGGCGCTGCTGGAGCGAGAGACCTCCTCCTCCGTGGCCGGCCAGTGTCTGTCCGCGCTGAGCGAGCTGGGCGCTCTGTCGGGCGGCGAGGCGCGCCTGTCAGCCCGGCTGGTGGCCGCCGCCCGGCCGCGGCTCAGCCACGCCAGTCACCAGGTGGCGGCGCGCGCAGCGGCGCTCCTCGGCCGCCTGCTGCCCGTCAGCCCGCAGCCCACCGACGACCTGACGCAGCTCGGCGAGGCCACGCGCGCGCAGGACCCGCGGGTGCGCTGCGCGGCGCTCCAGGCGCTGCTGACACTGCATGGCCGCGGTCTGTCGCTCGGCGGCCCGTTGTACGCCGACGCTGTCGCCGCGCTCCGGGACGACTACGAGAGTGTGCGCGAGGCGGGGCTGCAGCTGGTGCACGTGCTGGCGCAGACGGCGCCGGAGCGGCTGGTGCCGCTGGCAGAGTCAGACCAGACCGTCCGCTTGGTGGATGACGCGTTTGGACACATCTGTAACGCCATCAACGACTTGAGCGTGCGTGTGCGCGTGCGTGCCGCCACGCTGCTCGGCTCGATGACAGCTGTGTCGACCAAGTTCCTGGAGCAGACGCTCGACAAGAAGCTCATGTCGAACATGCGCCGCAAGCGTTCGGGCCACGAGCGGCTGCGCACGCTGGTAGTGCGCGGCGAGTGGTCCTCGGGCAAAAAGTGGGGCGACGACGCGCCCAAGGAGCAGCTGCAGGCGGACACGGTCAGCCTGATGTCGTCGGGCGCGTGCGGCGCCTTCGTGCACGGCCTCGAGGACGAGTTTCTGGAGGTGCGCTCGGCGGCGCTGGAATCGATGACCGAACTGGCTACGCTGCACCCGCACTTTGCCGAGATGAGCCTCGACTTCATCGTGGACATGTTCAACGACGAGATCGCCGAGGTGCGCCTGCGCGCCGTGGACTCACTCTCACGGATCGGCCAGATGATCACGCTGCGGGAGGACCAGCTGGACGAGATCCTGGCCGTGCTGGAGGTGTACTCGATCGACACGCGCGAGGGTCTGCACCGCATGCTGGGCGACTGCCGGCTCGGGAACACCGACTCGCTCAAACTCTGCGTCGAAAAGCTGCTCAAGAACCTGAAGCGGTACCCGCAGGACAAGCGGAGCCTGTGGCGCTGCTTCCAGCGGATGGGCGCGGCACACCCGGACCTGGTGCTGCCGCTGGTGCCCAGCCTGCTGCACATCCACCCGTACTTCCAGCTGCCCGAGCAGGATGTGCAGGACCCGGCCTACGTCTGTATCCTGCTGCTGGTCATGAACGCCGCCGCCGGCTCGCCCACCATGATGGCGCTGCTGGATGACAACACGCGCCGGCACTTCCTCTACCTGCGCGACACGCTGCCAGGAATGGTGCCCGACCGGCTGCCGGGACAGGCGGCCGCCGCCGCCGCCGCCGCGCCCTCACCCTCCACGCCCGCCGCCGCGCGCGACAACGCCGCCGAGTTCCTGCAGAGCGTGCTGCGGCGCGCCGCCGAGCCGGGCGCCGGGCGCGCCGCGCTGGAGCAGTGCCGCCGCGACCTGGACCGGCTGGCGCAGATCGACTCTGCTCTGTCGGCGCGCGCCCAGTTCGCCTCCACCTACATCCACTGCCAGCTGCTGATGGCGCAGGTCACTGGTGACGCCAGCTGGCGGGCGGGCACGGCCGCCGGACCGGCGCGACTGCAGACCAGCGCCGACACGCTGACGGCGCTGACGCTGCGCCTGCAGCACCGGTTCAGCGGGCTGGAGGCCGACGAGTGGGCGGCCGTGCGCCAGCTGCGTCTGCGTCTGCTGGCGCTGCGTCTGGTGCTGCAGGTACGCGGTCGCACCGGCTCGGCGCTGGCGCTCGGTGAACACTTCCTGGAGCAGGCGCAGCAACTGGAACGGCACCTGGTGGACGGCGGACAGCCGCTGGACGCCTTCACAGAGGCGCTGGTGCGCGGCCTCGAGGCCCTCGAGGAGCGCAAGGCGGGCGCCATGGCGCGTGTGCTGGCGCCGCTGCTGACGGATATTCCTGTGCCGCCGCTGAGACTGCGCTCGCCGCTCACCCAGGCGGAGGCGGTCATCTTCGAACCGCGCCAGGAGACGGAGCACCCGCAGAAGTTCACCGCCGGACTGGTGCTGGGCATCCCGCTCGACTGCGAGCTGCGACACGTATCGGATGTGAGTCAGGTGCGGCTGCGCGTGCAGTACCCGGACCAGCGGGCGCAGCTGGTTCTACCGCGCGCCACCGACTTCCGTCCGCTGGATGAGCCGGCCTCGTACCGTCTGCGCACCACTGTCCTGGTCAGCCACCAGGTGTGGTCCGAGGACGGCGAGGTCGAGATCTCCGTGGTGCTGGACGTCAAGGAGCCCGGCTGCAAGGTGCTGAGGCAGGAGGACTGGCTCATCGCGCTCTGTGACGCCGTCAGGGTGGCCGTGCAGCCGCGCGCCGTGAGGAGGAACGTCATTTGAGCGGGACGTGACGTGGACAGTGACGTCAATTTGGACAGTGACGTGACGTTGGCGACTGCGTTGGTGGTGTTGCAGTGTCATTAAGAACCGTCAGTGTGTTGAAGTGTGCTGTGTAAGGAGATCAAGATGTTCTATGAACAGCGCCCCCTTCCACGCCGCGTGCAAATGACGCAAGTGAGCGTTGACGAAGGTGTTCTCAGCGAACAGTGTGAGGACACGTCTGTGATACCCTGCGGCTGCTACGGTACTGCTGGGCGGCGGTCTATGATGTGTAGGCAGACACCAGTTACCGTACGTCGGATTAAAGGCTGACAAGTTCACAGCGGAAGTTGTGTGATGTGAGAATGATACCAGCGGTGTCCGCTCCATCGCACAAGGGCTGAGCTCTTTCAACCCAATCGCCGTCGCTTCTCGCTGGTCATGTAGAGTAAGAAAGCAGATAACTCTTTTCTGCTGGTGGAGATTGTGGTTACTTTGCCGCCGTGCTTGAATTTACGTTCAAATCTCAAAGCCGGACACATATTTTCATGTTTATTTGATGAACCATGATGTACATTTTGAATGCAAAGGTGAAGCAAATGTGAATACATTAAATCAAGTATGATGTGAGTAGGGACTTGCGCGACTAGAACAACAGTTGTGATAACGTAATATTTGTTTGAGTTGAGACTAGGTTTGACTGCGACCGTGTGCTATCATTTCTACTTTGCATCCAACCAGGCCATTGTCTGTGGTTACCGCTCCGCAGCAGCGCCAGCGAGCGCCGCCGTGGACGCTCACGCCGCGTCGCAGTCTGGCTTGTGGACGGGCCAGTGTTTGACCTGACACTGGCGGCCGCAGTACCAGGCCGCCTTGCAGCGGGAGCACTTTTTGACGGCCACCTCTCCGCAGGCGGCGCAGCGCGTGCTCTCGGCCATCAGCGGCGCCATCTTGTCCAGGTCATAGACGGCCGCCAGCCGGCGCGCCTGCTCCTGGATGGAGGCCAGGTCGGTGCGGAAGTGGCGCTCCAGCTGCTGCCTGGCCAGCTTGGCCCAGCGGCCGGCGTGTCTGTCGAGCAGCGCCTGCCGCAGCTCGGGCACCGTCTCGATGATGACGCCGGAGCGCGCCGGCGGCGGCGGCGGACTGACGGAGATGTGCGCCAGCCACTGGCGCAGCGCGCCCAGCGGCGGCACCTGCTCCAGCACCGTGTCCGTCAGGTGCTTCTGCAGTCGCAGCAGCTGGCCGCGCCGGTACTCGGAGATCTCGTACAGAGCCAGGTGCTCCCGGTCCATGAGGATATAGAGCAGCGTCAGCCACAGCTGGCCCTCTATCTTGGCCACGGCCAGGTCGTCGGGTGGCGAGGCGACCCACTGGCGCCGCTCGTACTTCTGGCGGCGGCCGGCACGGTTGGTCCGCAGCCATGGCCGGGCGTCCAGGAGCTGCACCAGCAGCAGCGGCAGGTCGTGCTGGCGCAGCAGCCGGGAGGCGGCCGACACGGTCAGCCGGCTCAGCTGTTCGCAAATGTGCTGCAGCAGCGTGATGCTCTGCACGGCGGCCATGAAGCGCAGCGAGTCGCGCTGCCGGCCCAGCTGTACCTCGATGGGCGGCTCGGCGGCCGTCTCGTCCCTCTCCAGTCGGATCTCCGGGTGCGCCAGCAGGTTGACCAGCGCCCGGTGGCAGTAGTCGATCACGTCCAGAACCAGATCGCCGAGAGCCTCCACCGCTGAGTCAGGCTTCACGGACGACTGAAAACGGAAGGTCATTACCTCCAGCAGCGACAGCACCGTCACCTCGTGGTGCATCACGACGTAGATGCCGATCGACGTCTTCGGCTTTTTGTTTTGACTGAGGATCTCCGGCAATATTTTGTCTCGCCAGACCTCAGTCATGATCAAGTCCTTTACTAGAAACGCTAGTTTGTCTCGTGAGATGATCAGATCTTTGACATATTCCTCCTTTTGGCCTTGCGCTTCCAACAAGGCTTGCATGTTCAATGATTCGAGCCTTTCGTGCAGCGTGATCCATCTGGGAGAACCGATTTCTTCGATCTTCAAACACTCCAGGGATTCTACGTACGATTCCGCCTCAAATGCGCTGATAATACTGGCTTGCACGGTGTCGGTCATTTCGTTATTTTAGTAAAATGTGAAAAACAGTTTCTGTTTTACCACACCAGGCTATATTTTAGGGCCTTGGGGATAGGCATTTTCTTCGCACTCGCAATAATTAAAAGCAAATTACACAACGAGATGCTCTGCGAATCGTGCGAATCAGCACGGCTCTGCGGCTCTCAGCTTTATGCTTACGTTGCTATGGTAACCATTGACTCAAGGGTGTTTTATTTTAAAATGTATACAAATTTATGTAATCAATTTGTGATAAATTAATAATGAGTCCTCAATTTTTCTCTGCAATATTGTTTAATATTTTATTTTAAGCATAAAAAGGATAAATTATATAACACTAGCTCATATCTTGAAACTCAAGTCTATTATTTCAATTCAACCGCCAGGTGAAAGGTGAATACATATATGACGCGCTTGTTTCTATTGTAGTTTTTTAGAAAACCTGAGAAATTTGGGGCTTTTGGCTTTGGTTTTGAGTAAATCAAATTAATATATTTTAATGATACCTATGGATTGCTGACGATTGATAAATAGAATATGCGAATTGCTGAAATGTGTCTCAAGCTGGTAGCAATTTCTCTCGAGTAATATAATGTTGTAGTAAGTCTTGCACTCAGCAGTGCAATAATGAATAGCCAAATCTGAGCCAAATGACTTGTGCACTGTTTTAATGATTGGCTCAGATCATGACAGGAGTCCTTGTGTCCAACTGAGTCAGGAAATGACGGACACTGTAAACTTGTGACTTGGTGGAGGCATTAAATGCCCTACTTTTTGCCGCGCCATAGTTAAGAAACGGTGCGCTGCAGGCGCGCCAAATTTTGGGTACCTGGCTATAGGGAATCAATTGAAGGTTATCATGGCAAAATGTCAAAAAAATTACTTAAAATTTTTAGGCATTAAGTTTTTAGTGAGGTCATTATTTCTTAGTTTTGGGGCAAAAACAGCAGCTGCAGCCTTCATGTTGATATGTTCAAAAAGCCACAAATTCACAGAATGGACGTATAGGCATGCCGTAAATGCCATTAGACTGTGAATACATTAACAGTCAAAGTAGTATCTTATATTTTTAATAAAATAACCATGCTACATTTTCCATAATCTTGAACTGAATCTGGGCGATTTCTCCTAGCCACTTCATGACCGTGATGCACATTTCTGACATTTCTTTACTTGATCATTTTCGACTAAGCACAATTATGTGCTTACTCATATGATAAAATGAATGTCACCATCATGTTCTATGCCCAAAAGTACCCATAAAACATGTGTCATAGTCTGTGAATGCCAGTTTTGATTTTCAGGTATGCCTGTATATGTGCTTAACTGATTGACCTGACCTTGGCCCTGACCTATGCCTGACTGACACCTACTTACATGGATCTGACACTGGTGTCGCACTTATATGAAGGATTGGGCACAGTTTGGTCAGAATTTATGACAAGAGATGCCCAGTTCAAGGTTCTGAATTTTATGTGTTTGACCTGACCTTGACCCGACTTGTGACCTTGAAATTCAACTTTCAAGTACTCATCTGAAGCGTCTTGTCGCATTCTTTCGTTTGCTGCCTCGTGAGTTTTGCTGTGCCTATTAGTTATCGAGTTATCAGTTGGGGGGCGTTTAATGATTCCCCCTTCTCAATCAAAGGGTGGATGGCGAAATACCCCAGCAACTGGCTGGTTAACATCACATAGGGCTGGTCATTCATAACCAGTGGGCTGTGCCATTATCTCTGTGGCTGTGTACCATTTCAGATCATTTCAGATCATCGCTGGAAGGAGAAACATCAACAGAAAAATGAGCTTGGTGGTCTGAGCTCCTTGAAGCTTCCATAAACAAGCAAGATGAAGGGAGAGTCAGGACCCCCACCTCCCCCACCCCCACCACCTGTTTCCCTGTCGAGGCCGCTCAAGCTGCCGGCCTCCGCCACGGATGAGGACGAGGACGTTCTGGGAGCAGTGGCTTTTCGCGCCGCCCGCGCGTCCCTGTACCACCGGCTTATCATCCACCTCAACGAGACACAGCCCATCATCCAGGAGGGACCCACGTGAGTAGCCGCAGAGGGAACGGACAGAGCGGGACCTGGTGATACCATTCTGGGGATGGTAGGATGGGAAACACGTACAATGAACAATGTACATTGTTTAGAGAGAGTGCATTGATTTTTAAGCTGTCAATACAGTACCATGCTTTGCTTGTCCTAATTATCAAAGCTGATGACAAAACCATGTTCTTGTTTTTCAAGCAAGTGCTGGTAAACCTTACAAAGAGTTTACAAATGGTAGGTATTGCTTCCCTCCTTAAATCCCTATTGAACCTGCATCTCAGTCTGTGCAGATCACCACATGTCACCCGTGCCCTCTCCTTCAGGTGCGGCCTGGCCGCCGCCTCCATGGCTCTCGCCCAGCTGGGCCGGCGCGGTGATGACGTCACAGTGACGTCACTGCTGCAGGAGGCGCGCTGCGGCGCGATGACGGCCCAGGGCGAGATGTTCTCGGCAGCCGACCTGGCGCGTCTGGTCGCCGGCCGACTGGCCCCGGACGGCGACCCCGCCACGGCCGGCCGCGTCAGGAGCGACCTCGACCGGCCCGAGGCCGTGCTGCGGGCCGTGCTGCGCGGCGACGCCGTGCTTGTGCCGTATCCTTTTAAAAGAGAGGGGTAGGTGATCTTTCGATGATAGTAATTTCATGGATGCAGCTTCTTTGAATAATAACAGTGTAATAATTCAAATGAACTTTGAAAGAACGTCCCCAGGTGGAGCATTCTATCGCCCGTTCACGGCAATCCCCCGTCGTGTTTTACCGTCGTCAGTATGCCGCATCGCACTGTGTTCCTACTTACGTCCCCTTTCCCACACCCGCGGCCGTGCCTTAACTCGGCGCTCAGTTACGACGCCGACCGGAACCACGCGCCGTGCGCGCGCGGCGGAGCGGCCGCGCACTGGGCGCTCGTCTGCGGCGTGCTCGTCGGCACCGCCGCCGACGCCGACGACCCCCGCGAGACGGACACTCGCCCGCCCACCGTCGACGAGACGGTGTACCCCGCGCCGCCGCAGCTGGTGTCTGCGGCGGCGGCGCGCGCGGACGGTCTGCGCCCCGACCGGCGCGAGCTACTGCTGCTCTGTCGGCAGAGCAAGAGCCGCCGGCTGGCCGTGTGGCGCTACGGGGACCTGGTGGTGAGTAACGCCCAGCTGCGAGCGGCGCGGCCCCACCGGGACGGTGAGCAGCCGTACGTGCTCAGCCAGGGCTCGGTGGAGGCTGGTTTGTGCGGACAGTGGGTCCACCTGTGGCGGCCGGACCGGGGGGAGGGGAGGGAAGCACTGGTCGAGGCGGACTCACTGGCGGACTGGCTCCTGGGGCAGGAGGCCTCGGATGGCGGAGAGGCGGCGGTGTAACGCTTGAGGTCGGGGAGTCAGATGTGCCTCTGACCCGCACGGGAACTAGTCATTGTCTGCTGCTTGACTTCGCTGCTGCCTTACCCTTTTACCGATAGATTTGGATTGCACCGTTCATATAACGGATCGTTTGTCGTATTATGACGTGTAGTTATTTCAGTGCATTAATTATTAACATTTGTGCGATATTGATTGATTTCCCCTCCGTCACCATGAACAGTAAGCTCGGTAATGTTTTTGTTTTGCCCGATCTGGTTGATATGGGATGAAGCTGGCTTTCATCTTATTGCTTTTTCTATGTACCTTTGTTTAGGTAAGATATCAAGAAAAGTCATGTAGTTTCTAGAGCAACATGATTCTCAGTCGTTCTTTGATTGCCCTATGCCATTTTCCCATCAATGTGGAATTGGTTAGCGGCTAGCGCTAAGTGCTTGAAGAAAGATGCCAGGTGTGCCTTGGGTTTCCGATTCAGGGCTGCTCTTTTACAAGTGATCACATTTGGAAACCTGTGAATAAGTCGTGAAGCATGAAGCTGGCGCAAATATTTATGCTTGTATAGGCTGTTGCATTCAATAACAGTGCGCCCTTTTTGCCCGTGGAATGCTATGGTGTGTTGTGAATGCCTACAAGTTGTAGGTACAATATAAACCAGCCGGTTTATATTTATATATATAATATAGTTGTGCAGCATTTTTAAAAGACTTTTGATGGCATCCTGCCAGCTTTTTGAAGATATGTCATCGTGTGATGAGTGCCTTGCTTTCATTAAAAATGATGACAGCTAATACTTCTGGGACTGTTGGTTGCATTGGCTGCGATTGCTGGTGCTATTGAGAGTGGGACTTCAATTCAATACTATAATTATTATAGCTAGCTGGTTTATAGTTATTAGCTCCTGGTTGCTGATGGTTCAACGCACACGCTTATGGTTTGGATGCTCATTTCTGATGGCTTGGACGTAAAAAGGCAAGATGTATTCTGGGTTGTTCCACAATACAGCCCAATACAGCCCACGCTATCGGATAGCTGTTGACAGTTTGAAAAACTCCTGAACGAAAACACACGATACCTACTTACCGAAGCATTCGCCACTAGAGTTAGCATATAGGCCTTCAGTTCTACACTGTGATTCGGGATGCAGAAATCGCCTGCACAGCCGCAGTGTTATGCTACAGAGATTCAGTCGAGTCCCCATATGGCGTTTGGTGCTACGATCGTGAAGAAGAGTGCAGTCTCCGCCATGTGGTGCTTCGTTCTTGTGACGGAGTACAGTCTCCGCCAGTTGGTGTTACCCTGCAGCTGCGCAAGAGAACTCACCGCCATATGGTGCTACGCTCTTGTGTAGCAGTGCAGTCTCCGCTTGGCTTGTGTTACGCTATTGTGGAGGAATGCAATCTCTGCGTTTTGGTGCTACGTTCTTGTATGTGGATGCAGTCTCCGCCATGACGTGGTGCTATCCCCTTATGTAGCAGTGCAGTCTCCGCCTGGCTTGTGTTTCGCTTTTGTGAGGGAATGCAGTCTCCGCGTTTTGGTGCTACGCTCTTGTGTTTGGATGCAGTCTCCGCCGCCAAGAGTGCAGTCTCCGCTTGGCTTGTGTTACGCTGCTATGGAGGAATGCAGTCTCCCCGCCATTTGGTGCTACGTTCTTGTGTGGAGATGCAGTCTCCGCCAGGACGTGGTGCTATCCTCTGGTGTATTAGAGTAGTCTCCATCCAATTTTACGACCGATTGCAGTCTCCAAGGGAAGGAACCTCGCAAAGCTGTGGCCAGCCGTGGTATTTTAAAATCCAGGCTGGCTTTCTTGCTCCAATGGTGGTGCAGCTGGGAAAATTGCCAGTACCGATGGTACAGGTCGCATACAAAAGAAACGAGGCCTCTACCTGTATAAAGGTAGAAGCTGTATTTCTACCTGTATTCACTCCGTTATCTCTATAGGATTAGGGAGAACGGAGCGCCTGAGCAGTAGCCTTGAAGCTGCTGCCACCTAGTTCAGCGGCCAAGTCACTCTAGCATCCGCCAGGAGCGCTGCCTTCACCTCCGTCCGGGGCCGTTTTGTGCTGTCAGTCAGACGTCAGCCTTCAGAGCATAAAACAGTCCTGATTATAGGACCGACTTGAGCAACGCTTGCTAACTACTGTTCTTTTAGCGAATTCCTTTGTTCAACTAGCATTGGAGACTTTTTGGTCAATTAAAAGTCCATCAGCATGTTTTACCCACTCCTCGGCTCCCAAATAGCCGGTGCCTGCGCGTCGCTGCCGCGGAGTCGCAGTGAAACCGATGCCGTAATTTGGCACAGATTCACAGGCGGTTGCCGCGTGAGACGCCACTGACATTGAGCCGGCTCACTTTCAAACAGAGGACGTGACATTGAAACCCGTTTCACTTTTTATCGATTCATGGCTCAGCGACTCTGAATTGCCTGCCTACCCACAGATAGACAACACAGCTCAAACTAATATTTGATTATATCTATTATTGAAACACATTGACTGTATTGCAGTAAAAAGACTTATGTGTCTGGTTAAGTGCCGCTTATTTACCAAACGTCTGTGTGGTGAGAAGGGATGTTGTAAGGCTACAGTCCCGCCGCCACCAGTGTGAGATTGAACTCCCTATGACAGCAACGACGCATTCCTATTTAATGACCTATACCTACCTGCACAGCACTGTCGACAATGGAGTGGTCACCGAGAGCCGAGTGTCGCTGCATGCTCTAGAGGCGCTCAGCCCATGTCTTCTGTCTGCTGTCTGCTCTCTGCTCGCTATTTATTGGTTGAGTTATTTCGGTCCGTCTGCTGCGTTTCTGTCGCACGGTGGCCTGCTGTGCTGTCTGCTCTCTGTTTTCTACTGTCTGCTTCTTATTAGCTCGGTCTGTCTGCTGTGTTTTTGTCGCGCGGTGGCCTGTCTGCTTTGTGCTGTCTGCTGTCTGCTCTCTGCTGTGTCTGCTCGCTATTAGCTCGCTCTGCCTGCTGTGCTTGTGCTGTCTGCTCGTTATTAGCCCGGTCCGTCTGCTGTGTTTTTGTCGCGCGGCGTTTCTGGACCTGCAGTCTCGCCGCGGCCGGCCGGGGACTAATGTTTGCACACACTCCACTGCCGCACACTGGGACACTGGTGCGCCCAGCTGGACAAACACACGGGAGACTGGCCGCCCCTCTCCGCCGGCCAGTTCCGCTGTTTGCGCTCATAAGGAGACCGGCCTGACTTCCGAGCACGATGCGATGATTCAGTCCCGATCTCAGCTCGTTGGCGACAGACACTACACAGCGACACAGGCATGCACTTTGACTAGGAAAGCTTGTGAGGTAATCGTTCAAAATACATCCGCAATAGTCGGAAGATGCGGAAGATATGCGCGAAGACACTAAGTACCGACTAACAGGCATGCATTACGATACGATTACACCAGGTGACAAAATACCTCAACATGTGGTCGTGATGCTTAAGCCGGACGATACGAGCCGCCCGATTATCTGGGCGGGGCGGAAGTCGGACTGTCCGTCTTCACCCGTGGTCAGTTTCAATCAGTCCCCGCGCCTGTTTACGGCGGAGGATGGGCGGTGGATGCCGGCGCTGAGCCGCGAGGATCCGCTCCGCCGCGGACCCGCCCGGCCGCCACTCCAGTACACAATGCGGGACACGTCATCAGCGCGCGGAGACCGGCGGAAGGCATGCATATTCATCACTGCAGTGTAATCAGATGCACACCGACTGAGCGCACACCGGCGCCCCTTCCTACCGACCATTGATTGATTCGGGGATGGTTTATGATAATCACCGGCCGCCGGAGATTCCACTGGATTCTCCATATATAGGAGGCGCCCGTGCGTGTGTGCCTCGGCGGCGCGTCCGTCTGTTTGGACAGTGGGCGGACCGCTCGCGGGCTGTAGGCGGCAGAAGAACAGACGGATCGAATCCGGGTGATACAAAGGCCCGGAACTCATGTGATAACAGATGGAGCGATTGAATTCCATCCTATTCATATGAATCCTATTCACGTCCACGAATTTCAATCATTTTTTATTATTATCAAACTAATGCTACCCACTCATCCTTTTACTAATGTTAGCTGTTATTTTGGCTGTTATCAGTTCACAAGCACGGAATCGAAAATCAAGGAGGATTCAACCAAAAGTCTCCATCATCTCCATTTCTCCTCTCAATAAAAGCCCTCGGTAACTTCAATGTTTACTGCCGTTTACTGCTGCGTGTCGGCTGGAATACAGGAAGGACGGAGGACAGCACGCGCTTATTATTAACTTGATCCATCGGTTTCCGGAAATTAGAGCGTACCCCCATGACCTGTTTGACTGATTACAAGCTAACACCTGGACAATTGTGTCTAATGGGTAGTGTGGATGCACTCAGCGTCACAGGCGACGCATAAAAAGGCGACCTCGACAAAGTTTGATTGACGCGACTGCCGCGACCCTCGCCGGTAGGGTGACACGGCGCTGTGACCCTCACCGGTAGTGACGCGGCACCTCGTCTCTGCCGTCCCTTCCCGACCGGGATGCGCAGTGATGTGGCATATAACACCAGCGAGGCTGCCTGACGGAAACTGAACCGGTCACAGAGAGCATAACCTTGGTCCCGTGGGTCGGCGGTCCACCAGGCACAGTCGACCGGCGGCGTCGCGCCTGATCCCTCCCATACCGTAACGCCAGTCCAGTTGATGGTAATGGGACCACGGGCATAATGAACCGTCCACTTTCGTGTACGCGGTAACACTACAGCTCAATCGCAATTCACAAACTGAGCAGAAATGTACCAGTTACCTATTATTTGAATGGGACGGTTAGGACCTTGAGCTATCTTGCAAACACTTTTTGGCCGACACGCGTTTTTTTCCTGATGGCCTCTTCAATAAAGGTGAAGCGGATTTGAGTAGTCTCATACCGTATCCCCGTATATCCAGGATATCTTCTGAATCCTTTACCACGTCCCAGTGTTTCCGGTGCCCATTTAGGAGTATGAGGCCATTAGCGTCGCCACGGGGGGGCAAGCGGGGCAGCTTGCCCCCCCAACCTCGGACCGGGCACCCCCTGAGATCGATACAGATCCGATGAGATTTTGGAGTCGGAAAAAATGGGGGTACCTTTCTGAGAATGTCTGTGAGGTGAGACTCGGTTGGAGCGTGCAGTTTAAACCAGAGTCTGACTCGCAGTCGCCAAAATCTTCAAGACTCCGAGTCCAGACTCGGAAATGTCAATGCTGTGATTCATTCCATGTTCCTAGTTCGTTCTTTATTACATTTTACAGCTGATTTTCATAAGTTTTGGAGTGCTGACACAATTTTCGTTCAAAGCGTGAAACGAAATTTTCGGGGCCTTTCTCAACTCTCGTCAAATGTCTGCGACAGGCTCAATTACCGTACAAGTGTCGCAGGGCTCATGAGCTTGCTTTAAACAAAGGCTCCTAAGGAGCTCCACTGAGCCCTAAAGAAGCTTTCAGAGGGCCCAAAGGGGCCTCTGAAAGTCCCACTGGTGTCCATGTTCTCTGAGGGCCCATACAGGGATCTTTGAGCCTTCGAACATTTCCGGGAACCTTAACTGGCCTCTGATAGTTCAGCCAAACTTTTGAGGAGACAGACTTTGCTAACCCCAAGCCGGCATCTGAGGGGTCACAGCTCACGTGTCCCTCTGAGGTCCGCAACACATGTTTATTATGTCCCTACGTAAGGTCCTTAGGGATTCGACACAGA